GGAAAGCACCGTATCCAATGAGCAGCCAAGATGCAGCTGGACGATCTGAACTTCGCACATGATCGGGCTCTTCTATCGCACACCCAACAACAAATGCAAGAGAAGACCAGTGTAGCAGCAGCCTCAGCAGCAACAGTTCTCAACATACATTATGGGAAAAGCAAGATTTTCCGATACAACACAACATGCGCTAACCAAATCACCCTCGATGAAGATACCTTGGAGGACGTTAACACCTTTACATATTTGGGCGGCATCATCGACAATTAAGGTGGATCTGATGCAGATCTGAAGGCGCGGATTAGGAAAGCAAGGACAGCCTTTCTACAACTAAAGAACGTCTGAAACTCAAATAAACTATCAGCCAACTCCAAAGTCAGAATTTTCAATACAAATGTCAAGACAGTTCTACTGTATAGAGCGGAAACTCAGAGAACCACGAAAGCTATCATCCAGAAGATTCAAGTATTCATTAACAGTTGTCTACGCAAAATACTTCGGATCCATTGGCCATGCACCACTGTTAACAACCTACTGTGGGAAATAACAAACCAGATTCCAGTGGAGGAGGAAATCAGGAAGAAGCGGTGGAATTGGATAGGATACACACTGAAGAAAGCATCCAGCTGACTCACAAGACAAGCCCTCACTTCGAACCCTCAAGCTAAAAGGAAAAAAGGAAGGTCAAGGAACACTACGATGAAAAGTAGAGAAAGATATGAGAAGAATGAACAAAAATTGGACAGAACTGGAAAAGGAAGCCCAGGACAGAATAGGTTGGAGAATACTGGTCGGCGGCCTACGCTCCATTGGGGGTAACAGGTGCAAGTAAGTGAGTAAATTAATATTCTAGACAGCTCAGATTGAATATGATGATTTATGTAGTGTAAGAAATATAAATCTCAATTTCAACATATTCTGACTTAGTTTCAACACGGAAAAGCTCAAAAGTGGTAGCTAAACATTATGAGAAGTAATTTCATATAACTATCTAATTCATAGAATGGTATAAAATGAGTTTATCATGTTAGTTTTGAATCGTACTTAAACAATGAATAAAAGCATCTGATTTCACTGAGATATCTGTAAATTTATATTTCCACAGTAAAACATTTTATTAGTTACTGATATTAAGTGCTTCCAGTGAAAACACCCCAATGAACTCAACAATAAATTAGCAGATTTTTATATACATTCTATTACGAACAAGCATTGCTGCACTCTAAATTACTGTTCCCTACCTAACTCACTACAGACGAGAGTTAAAAAAGTAAGTGGTGAATCTACATACCATACGTAATGTTGTTCCAGACAATAATCACAGAAAAACATCAGCCATCTCTATCATTTGAAAACCAATTATCGCAAGTAACTCCATCATTTGCTTAATACATGAAACATACATATTTCGAGCATATTCTTACGTCCATTAATGATGGATGACACAGTGGTAACTAAATATTACAGGAAATAGTTCTGTCTAACCATGTGATTCATTCACTTCAATGAAAACAGATCGATAAGTATACTGAGATACATATGAGTCGACATTCTTACTCTCAAGCATTCCATTACTCACCAAACTTAAGTTTGTCACTAGCTCATGTGATACAGTCTAAATTATTGTGAAGGATACTTTTAGCACTAAAGTACTCCTATGATATAGCTTCTATCTAGAACTAAAATTTCAAAAATAAATTAGAGATACTTTTTTTGTGATTTTATCGTTAATATACGTTCTTCATTGGACTTGCGATTAAATAAAGTTTCAGTGTTATTCTTGTATTTGACTATCGTAACATCCTGTGTTCAGATAAACTTTTAAATTGTAGTTCTACTTGGAAATAAATTATTAGTCATATATTTTCTTAAAGCATTTAACAATAATCAAATTAATTCACATTTTATGCAAAACATCTGTTATGGCGGGCACTTAAAGAAGATTGACTATCTTCTAGAACTGTTTTTTCTGCTTAAGATTCATTATTTTTGGTTGTATACAAAGTAAGCATTTTATTCCTATTATTGTGACGTTGCTCTTATCCTATACTCTTGTTTGAGGCATTAACTGTTGTTATATCATTTCTCATTTATGAACTATAGTTAATTGACTGCTATGCGTTACCCCAGTTCACACTCACTATTACTGTTATTTTGTATTGATGTCAGTTTTTTAGTTGGTTTACGATGCAGTCTGATTTTGCATGTATATAAAGGCATGATTGAAATAACAACAATCTGATCTGATCTGTCTGTCTGACTCATAAGTCGTTGTTTTTCCTCTATTCCGTGGGGCTGGTAATTGAGAGGCTGACGTGTCTGTGCAGTGATTAGCGATCATCAAGGTCATTGTATATATTTGCACAAACACAATAACATCATCAGTAAAATAATGTTGTTTCAACATGATTAAATTATCAGAGAAATATTAAGTTTTCAATACTTGACAACTTACTAGAATACATAAGTAGGCAAGGAAATAATAACACCAACTATATTGTAAACTTCCATGATGTAAGTAAAATTACGCAATGGTGTTTTTTCTACTTTCTTTATATAGTATCTATCTGATACAAATTAATTTTGGAAACGTCTAAACAACACTTAATCTTATCAGGTCAAGTGGTTATACTATTTTGAAGACTTCACCAGTTAGGTTTACAATTATAAACGAAAGTGTTCCGTACATATTATTTGGTAATTTTACTAATTATTTGTCCTTATGTAAAAAAAACCCTCACAATAAATATTCATCATAAATCATGTATTCCCTCTAAACTTTATTCTCAAGATATATCTATATAAGTGCTCTTATTAATACATACATGTATGGTGAGAAAATCTCCAAAGTTGTTCATAAGCTGTTCCTGAGACAACTTTAAATTAGAAAAGCATACAAATAATCCTGATATAAAATAATACCTAAATATCTAGATATTCTCATCTTGAAAAAGAATATTACCGTAAAGACTGTCAGATTAATAGCAATTACTTAATTTGGCTAAAACTTTGTCGACTGAAATTAAAGTTTTTACCCTTTAGAGAAGACTGGATAATGATGATTCTGTGATATAATGATGTTAGCGATACGGTTCTTAGAATACCTGGATTTCGAAACAGGTGCGTTTAACACTTGATCTAGTTGTTCTCTGAAACTTTCAATCAATGACTGCAAAGCTATAAATAATAGCACATAATCAGAAAGATTCTTTTTTTCAGTCACCAAAAGGAAAGAAGTGTGTAAACCAGTTTGTTCAACAACACATTTGTGAATATGAAAACCAAACAGATTTTCTTCTACATAAACTTATTCAAATTTAGGTTTCCACCCTATAAAGTGAATAAATTAATAAAGGAGAACTAAAGGAATCATTAACGAGAAATAAAAAAGCATTTAGTTGTTTATATTTTCAAACGGGTAATAAATGAATCCATTCTTTATCTAAGTATGGTTTGAATTGTTACATATTGCCATGGCTTTTAAAACATCAACGTACAACAGACAATTTTATCTATCTTGGAGTAATTACCTTGAAACTCCATCTAAATTAAGTCTACTCAAATCTGAAATGGGTATTAAAGTGAATGGTGATTATACATGACAAACATACCTCTAAAATATCTTAATATATAATGACAGGAATTTACATTACACTGCCGACATTGAACGACTCTGAAAGCTGACTCCTAACAGATGAGGAAAGAGATTATCAAAACCAAGAATCTGTACTGGTGAATAACTCCACAAAACAAATACTTTTACAAACTTCAACATCGGTTCGGATCTATTATTTTTAGCTGACACAACTATTAAATAAAGACGCCAAACTAAATATTGTGGCTATATGCTAGCTTAACCCAAGTAAGACATTTTAATTTTCTCAAGTCACTTTAAAAGTTTCATGTTCCTCAATCATCCCTCACGTTCGAATAGTATTTCACTTAACCATCATCGTCTGCTTCGACGAAAGCATTGGGATATCGTTCCTAAATTATTTGGTTGTCTGTTTCTTAATAAATCAATAATAACATCACTAAACTGAGAGCTTACTTCAAATACATGAAAACAGAATATAGTCGTCATAAGAACAATCAAGTATTTCATATAATCTAGGTTTAACGCCGTGTCATTTCACTGTGTAATGCTAAAAATAGGCTTTTTTATCCAACTCAAAGTGATCCGAACTCTAAACGAAGTAATGTTCAGCAGTTTTACAATATTATCAGGTGTCAGCGTTTGAATTTAGCGGAAAAAAGCATAGTCACTATGTTGATTCTGGTCGACTCGGCAAGATAATATAGTTTAACCAACAAGGAATCAAAATCTCATCATATAGACTACTATACAATAACTGAAATCTAGAACAGAATAGCACAATACGAAGATAATTCAATAAACTATTATTCCTGTTAGAATGCTCAGTTCGGTAAATACATTCGTTCTGGCTTATTCATAAGTACAAAGCTACCTTAAATTCATTTAATCTATTTTAATTATTACATAGATCATTGTTATATATTTGTAAATACGTAAATGGGTGAGCGGATTCAATTTCAAAGAAGCTTTATTTATAAACATAAATATGTAGACTGAGGTCACAAATATTTAATTACATAAAAGGTAAATCTACCTAAAAAGAAGGCACAAATGTGTAAGTCAATTAATTGCACAAATCTTATTACAATTTAAGCAAACGAAAAATTACTGATAAAATAATTCACTGATATCACTAATAACACCAACTGTTAGTTATATCCTTGGGATAATTTAAAAAAATAATCTCATTCATGCATAAATTATTTTGTTCAATGTCTATGTAGGGGAAATGCGAGGATAGTTCATGGAAGACTGGGATAAGCAATAAACAAGAGTGACATAAGTAAAGGGATCAGAAAAAATCAAAAAATCAAGATTATTTTATTCAAAAACGGTGAATAGGATAAACGAAAATATTGTTTAACAAATGAAAGAGTCCATTAATAGATAATAAATAAATAACTCATAATAAATAACTCCTAAGTTGATTACGAAATTCTGAGTTCGTTAAGAAATGCCATCGACGTCGATCTAATGCTGTACAAATGAGAGACTCTGCCATTCTCGATCTGGACGATATCGGTTCAGTCAACATACTATTATACCAATCAGAGAATGCACCTGGAACAGTCAATGGACAAACACCTTCAAACTGACAACATTCTTCTTGGATAAGTAGTTGTAATGGATTGTATTTACGACAATGACATATTAACAATAAAGTTAAAATATGCACATAAACACTTGAACCACCAAGGGCTAATAGATTAATATGTGGACAAGACATAATCAATTCATGTAGAATATGATCTAATCCATATAAATTATCATCTTCATATAACTCATTCAATTGTTTAATTGAACCGGACACATTCAATTCAGAAGGTATATGCTGAATGGTGAAAAAAAGTAAACAGACAGAGAATTATCGAATAAATTATTTGTGACAGCAATCAATAGAATTACGAAGTTTTACAGTTGATTTCTATAAAATAATACCACATTCAAGACTTAACTGTAAGCTAATCATCTTGAAGTAGGCATACGTAATCATTTACGTTGTATGGTTTTTAGCCCAATCACTAATACCACCGTCGCTTATTTTTTTTCAAAGGCCAAAACTCTGATCAACGAATAGAAATGATGGTGAACAATTTACACAGTTCAATCTGAAGTAGATATTATAGAAGCATGAAAATAAAATCAATGTAAACAGTTCAAAATAATTCATATTATCCACGGTTATGAGTAGAATTTTTAAAATTGCAAAGGAATCGCACACAATTCTTCTCACTTGCGAATGTGAATAAAGCAGGAAGGATGATTTTAGTGGAATATAATGAACTTATTTACTTCATGGATTCACTTTGATTGTTTTACATGTTCATTTAGTGTTACGCATGCACGTAAACACAGCTACTCTGGTTAGTTGACAGACACAATACACAACGTCAGACTGACTTGATCCACCATAGTCGTGTCACGATCCAGCTTGGTATCGATCAAGATCTTCCTTAATTCAGCTGCTGCTCGGGTAATAATTCAAGTCTAGAAGGATCAAATCGTCATCAGCGATGGACCTTGGTGCTTTTAGGGTATGACTTCGAAATCCAATACCGACGCACTCTACAATTCGGTCAGGCAGACACTTTGTCTGAGGAAAACATGGTAATCGCATCTCTGTCAATGGAAGACCACGAGGAACGTTATCTGACAACCGCAATTCGCGCATTACCGGTGTCTGCAACAGACATACAGAATGCTTCTAGAAACCACCCCATCATCAAGATGACGATGAAATACGTCACTAACGGTTGGCCGTCGAAGAAGTTTGAGGGTGACATGAAGCAACTGTATCAGCGGCAGGATTCACTATGCATCGTGAACGATTGTTTGATGTTTGATGAAAGAGTAGTTGTACCAGAATCCTTTCGTGCAAAAGTGCTGAGACAGTTCCATCTCGGTCATCCAGGGGTTAAACGAATGAAGTCCATAGCCATGAGTTATGCATACTGGCCTCTCATGGATCAACATATCACAGCGTTGGTTGAAAAATGCATGCGGTGTCAGCAGGCGGCAAAGATGAATGCCAAAGTTCCGCCGGTTTCATTGCCCAAACCTGATCATCCTTGGTCCAAGATACACGTTGACTTTGCTGATCAAATCAATTGAATTGTGTATCTAATTGTGGTCGACGCCTTCTCAAAATGGCCGGAAATCAATCCCGTAATGCCGCCCACGACGACTAAGACAATATAGCTCATCGAAATTTTCTCTCGAAATGGCATATCGTATGTGACAATGGGTCTCAATTTACCTCTACCCGATTTCAAACTTTCTGCCAACGGCTTGCCATTAAACACTTACGCTCGCCACCATACCACCAGCAATCCAATGGGCAAGCTGAAAGGTTAGTGGATACGTTTAAAAGAGCATTGGTTAAGTCAAAAGGGGAGGGGACACCAGCCGACGGGTTGCGAAGTTTCTTGTACGTCTATCGAACAATACCAAATGAGTTGTTAACGGAGCAAAAGTCCCCAGCAGAAATCCTGATGACAAGAACACTGGAAATGATCCACAGCCTGATGCATCCGACTAATGCAACAACATCAGCAGAGACAAAGTCGGAGAGGCAATCATATTACTTCGTAATATGACTACAGAACAAATCATGGTCCCTGAGTAGAAGCGCGAGTGGTCAGAAGAGTTGGTCAAGTTATGTACGAAGTAGAGGTAGGAGGCGAAAGGTGGCCAAGCCATCGAAACCAGATACGCAAACGGCTAGCGCCAGATCATTCATCAAGAGTAGAAAATCTTCACCTTGACATCCTGCTTGATACCTTCAACCTATCGGCAGGCCCACCGCGAGAAGAAGCTCAGTCACAAGCTGATCTCCGTTCCAGAAGGTATCCTCTCAGACAGCGGCGAACAACAGTCAAAATGCAAGTCGACCCCAGGAGCGCACGCTATCAAAACGGGAGGAGTGTTGGAAACGTTAGATCCCCAGAACTCGCTTGATTTATTTTATGGGCTGATCAGTTGACCTGAAGATCACATTTCCCACCAGGAGAATCCTTGGCTGTGATTGGTTGTTGTGTATTTTAATGTGCTATTTTGTGACACTCCCAAGGACGTCTCTATAGTGTATAAATAAACGCAATTTGTGTGCTTGGATTCATTGTACTGGCTGGGTGTTTGTAGAATAAACTTCGTACGCTATATCAAGACTTCTTGCTAGTACATTCAGGTCAAGGGATCATAGTAGCCTACCTGGACGCTGAGTCCTTGTTTTGTTCTCGTTATTCGACTAAGGTGAACCCATAATAGTTTTAAGCATACCTAGAGACTAGGGTAACATTTAGAGTCACAGAAATAATAGTTATTGTCTGTATTTTCGAGCGAATTCTTCAAATTGAGACAAACAGATCAATATGCTTTAAACAACTAGATTTTCTAAAATTTACTTAATAGTGGGTATGACGATGGAGTTTTAAAAGCCATTCAAAGTGATTAATGAGCAAATAACTTTGAATGTAATGTGTTTTACTAAAGCCGTAGCTATCATAAAGCTTAAACGGAACCTATGCATTACAAATGATATTGTCTTGCATTGGCCAAGTATTTTCAGTTTCCGATACTTAATTGCATAATATTTCATTTTGTATTTGCAACTATAAATGCCTTTTCTTTATTCTTTCTAGAGTCTATTTAGCTCAATGTCTATTTTCATAATTGTTATTCGGTAACCTCTAAAATATTCGCATTATTCGACAAAAACATGAGAATACTAAATAATTCTCTCCTACGTGTTGCTTATTTTTTTCGTTGATAAAATCTTTTCTGACATTATGAAAAATCTAGTGTGTACACTAAATTATTTCTGAATAATTTATACTACTATTGCTAGATTGTAAACAGTTAGACGAAATTAATGAATTTACATTATTCTGCTACAAATTTTCGTGGCAAAAGTATGGTATATGGACGAGCTTAAAACAATCGCGACGAATTTTCAAATCGTATTCGGCCAATCAGAAAACGGGTTTTATAAATCAATAGTTTACGGGAAATAAAGCAATACGATTGTAAATTTCAATAAATTTTACATTTACAAGTTACTACTCTACCTGTAAATAATAGGAAAGACGTATGCATTGGGCTATATGGATAGAGACTGTACATGTTCTTGAACCTTTAAATGAATCTAAACATATTGGAGTCTCTATACAGTTACTAGTCAGAGCTGAGTATTAAGAGTAAGGGTCAGGCCTATCAGATGAAAATTTTCATTACGAACTAACAAGCTAAAATGGCTCCGTAATCATATGGATAAATGAATTTCATCCGAAAATAAAGCAACGTTACTTGATTACTAGTCTGTCCATAAAATAAAGGCGTTTCAGAATTTAAGGTTTAAGGTTAAAATGTAGAGACTATGCCAGTTATATTCAATCTGAAAAGAAAATTGAGTACTTGACATGTTTAGTACTATGATTTTAAACATTTCGAGTAGTAAAAAATCCACCTGGGTGTCTCTCCTTTACACAGTCTACTTACTTGAGCATTAAATCCATCAGCCACTTTACTACATTGGAGTGACTAAAGTTCTGAGGGGGTCCGATAGCTTTCTGAAAGATTTATCTTTACCTTGTCCAAGGTGCAGTCAGTGGGATTGTAGGCAGAGACAATTAAGAAGAAACGGTGAGTAACTCTATCTTCACAGTTTCTCACTTATCCGTTTAGTCGGGCAGTTTGATAATGCATATATGTAACACAAATGAGATATAATTCATTGACGATGGGAGTTGAGGAGGACATTTTTGCACAAAAACGTTTAAGAGAATTATTGTTTGAATATAAGTCGTTAGTGTATTATTTAACAGAAAATTGTTTGTTGAATACCTCTTAGTCTTTACTGCATTTCACAAAATGGAAAACAATCAGCCGGAAACATTTGCCATAAGAATCTTGCTATTATATATTACTTTGAACAGAATTTAAAACAATTTTCTTGATAAGGTTGACCTGACGTATCCTGAACCTGACAACTTACTCTCGACTTCTCATCAATATCGCCAACTAAAAGCCAACACCATTAGTTCCGACTCACGTCCTTTCCATGACTTTAAGTGATTCTGTCGAGCTGTTCAAATCCACGTAAATATCACAGTATGAAAATAGAATCTAATTATTAAACGTTATATTTCAATTACCAAGCCAATACTATACCCATACCACACAAATGGTGAATATTCGGACTAATCGTAAAGAAAAGAAAATTACATACCTCTAATGATATTATCAATGATGTAAGTGATTCTGAATAAAATATAGGGTTGATTGGATTTTTCGGACTCAATAAACTAGCCACAAATGTCGGTTCCCCAGTTAGAATCAGTGTGATTGAAGTTACAGGTGCAGGAGGAACAGGCCAGTACGATAGTAAATTACGAATTGAGTTTGATTTATCAGATGATGAAGAACTTTTCCATCGTAAGCGAGTTAATTCTTCAACCAATTCCAACTTCAAATGAACGGTGAAACGTGGACGAAGAGTACTAGCAGCACGCCACATGTATGCAGGTATCGGTTTCCAACCAGATGTTGCCTCTTGACTAGTTCCATATCTTCGAGCATGTGGGACATCTGCAGTCCAATCAATCAAATCTAGCATACTTGAATCACAAGGATCAAAATTTCGATTCTCATTAAATCTTATATTTAAATCATTAGAATCATAAGAAATAGTTCGTTGAACAAGAGAGGGGTTTTTAGAACGTGGTATAGTGAATACAGTCAAATCAGTCTACAAAAATAAAATCAAGTCAAAAACTACTTTTAATCTTTTTTTTAAACAACATCCTTAAAATTAGTATTGGATATAGTCTAAAATTATGCATAGTGAAGTTCATTAAAAAAAACTCACTCTGAATATTAATTTATATTTATCATGAAGTTCTGCAAATATTAACGTAAATATGAAATGTTAAAACAATTTTGTTAACCACAAGCTTTCAAGAACTAAATATTAACATTAATATATGCCAATTTATTTAGCCATACGTTATAATGATAAGAACACCTTTGAAGTAATACTAACTGCTTTTGCTTGGATATTTCGTAAAGTTAAGAACAATATAAGAATAGTTAATAACCTTAGAAAGGAAAATGATCAACTGTAATGAGCAAATTAGTTGAACCACAGTAGCATCATTGATTAAAGTGTACAAGTGTTGTTATTACAAAACATTATAGATTGCAGTGTGACGAATTTCTTTTTCCTGAAATACTAAATTTACCCATTTCCGATTTACATGAATACGTGAATAACTCACTTAGAACATAGGTATTTGATACATATAATAGTCTCTATGACTGATACCTTAATTTAGTGCTTACTACATCACAGATACCTTAAAACATTTTGAATAGGATTCGTTTTCGTCGCTTAAATATACTGAAATTTACAAGGATTCAAGTTAAAAAGCCCAGTCTAAGGGCTCAGCAAACATTTCCAATATCTTTGTTCTGAAAAAACAACAACAGACAATATTAGTGATGTTTTGCACATTTTTATCTGCATAATTAAGCTGACTAATTCACATACTCCATATAAGATGAGAAGGATAATATTTGTTAACTGTAAAGGAAGTCATTATATTTTGAGACAAAATATTTAACACAGTCATTACAAATAATCCGTACTTATAAATTGGAAACGAATTCATATAAATTGGGATGTGATATCATAACAATTAATGGACGAAATAAGAAAGTTTTTTTGGCAGACAAGTTACTACGTAATCAACTCGACTCCATAGCATGCAGCCTCAAAGTCTGAGACGATATTAACCGGCTCCTTGAGCAATAACTAGTCCACTCACTTAGCCTAGTCGCCGTTTTGCAATCTAATCAATAGAATCCTATCATCATTAAAAGAACTGGACAAACATGACAATGATCACTATCTAATAATCAATTAATTGTAAATGTGTTGCCATACACCCACAATGGGAATTTCCAACAGTCTAAGAAGGATTCCCGAAATTAACGTATTAATAAAAAACACTTCAACAACAATAAGTAAACTAAAAATAGTCGACAGTACACTGCAAATAACATAAAGGTATTATAAATTAATGGTAACGAACTTGAACTAAAAATAATTCGCGTAACGAAGTTTGGTACAAAAGTCGAAGAAGCATTGGACCAGTCAACTGAGTTGGACTCAAAGTGAGACGTGTTATTTTAGGAAAAAGACTAGACAAATCACATAAAGGATTATCACTGGTCGGTTGAGGTCTAGCGCTAAGCCAACGAGGATCCAAGAAGTACCAATCTCCATCCAAACTTAGATAGCTATTGTCGTTTGAAGCATTGTCAGCATTTTGATATTCACCAGAAATAATATTAGCAGTTAGAGCATTAACAGATGACTTATAGAAGTGGACAAGATTGAGATCAGTCAGACAATGTGAAGCAACCTGGATGACAAAAAGGTCACATAGCCATATTTAATAAACGATTAACCAATACGAAACACAAACTACACTTAAAGTTTAATACATGAATAAATAAAAGTAAAAAAACAAGGTATTTTCGTGAAACTAAAAATTTTACAGAATATTAAGGTTAATGTGTTGAAAACATGAGTATTGGAACTTTTGGACGTTGAATGAGGTTGTGGCAGAAATATCACCACAGTGGTGAACAGAAAGAGAGTAGAGTATATGAAATTCCCAGTTGAGACAAAATACAAAGTGCACGTAAAACTTATTGCGCGCGAGTTTTTTGTTACGATATCAATACCAACAGTGATATGGGAGAAGTTTAAAGACTTATTATACACGGAAAAGTTTAATTGCAATTATATTCATAAACATATGTTTAGCGTACGCTATTGGATAAGGAAACAATCAAATATTTTCAATGAATTCGTACATGACATCCTGAACGTGTTGAGGGACTTCAAAAGTATTCGACTTAAATGAGCTAAAAGATTATACTACTTGAATATGTGAAATTTTTATCCACTTCATAAACTAAATGACCTGTGTTAATACCATTCTTTCGATGCAACAAATAGCATTATAAATAAGATATCTGGCTTTTGCCTTTCAGAAATCGCATATTGCCTAACCACCGAAACCCTTTATAAATTATTCACGTTACGTTGTACTAGTGGAAATGTAATGTTAGTTGTTAAATTACTGTTGAGTGAAGTAAACAGAATTGCACTGACTGAAATTACATCTATAAGCCACAGAAGTAGGCCAGACTAATGCATGACATCCAATTATCCAGTGTTTGATTGTTCAAATAGTGATGACAATTACAGAATTTCCTGCTGAGGTGCAGCGATGAAGTCGAAATTCACAATTCGAACTGTGCCACACTTAAATAGAGGGAAACACTTGTAGATTTTGCGTTATTTTTATAACTATCTAGAGGTCATGATGTAAGGGCTAGTTGGTAAAATTTGACCACAAACAGGATCATGGTAACTACCTACTAATATACTTTCTGATAGCTTAATAATTTTTATTTGAAATGATACAGAATCAACAAGAAACAACAAAACTTGGTATGGGAATGTTACAAATGTTACCAATATTAACAAATATTTTGCTAATTGGTTAGCATAATACAAGTCAGAAATGAACACAGTATCTTGTTTTTGAAATAAAGAGCCATGTAAAGGCTTAATTACATCGAACCTAAATGTTTTATCTTACCAATCATTAAGCATTGACTTTCAGAAAAACAAACAAATCGAACTTCCGTGCATAATTACGATTGTGTCTACTACTTTCAAGGTGGCTTGAAAGTAGTATGCAGCGGAGTGTCACCCAGAAGTTACTGCTGAAGGGAAGGGTGTCAGATCCGAAGCTTTTTGAAGACTGGATGACATGTGGAAGAAGACAGCTAGTAAACTGTATCTAATTTAAATAAATCACTTATTTCATCTGATATCAACGTCTTTATTGATTACATAATCAATAGTTGGTGGCGTTATTGACCGTAACTCATGACTATTCGCATAGAGAAAAGGTTCATTACAATGAGGCGGAGACTTTACTTTGCCTGGCTTTTATACAAAGTACTAAGTCAGTGTTCATAAAAAACAACCTCAAACCGAATGGATTTTGACGATACGTACCAAAAAAATGAAATGCCTTTGATAAGATACACATGGATAAAATGGAACTACAATTCACACTTACGCTGCTTATTTCAAAAACTAACTGCCTAGCGTCATCGGACGCAAGGAAAAGATCCACTAGCCGAAGACGATGAAGCTCATTTAATTGACGTATCACTCGGCTAATCGATTTCAACAATCCACCTCCAGTTCCATAAACAAGACCACGCAAATCGTCAACTTCAGAATTAAAATCTAATTCAAAAGAATGGACAATAGGTGGATTGTGAAAAGCTGGAAAATTCGACACAAATGAGGGATACTGAGAGCTTTTACTGCGTTTGAAGCTATCACAATCATAACGATGAGATGGAGGATAGCTAATGGAAGATATTCTGTGTGAGTGAAACTGCTCGGATTCATTGAAGAAATCAGCTTGCTGAAAAAAATAATGAAATCTAAGTTCAGCAAAGCTTAAAAGCTGTACACAACAAAATAAGCCAAACCGATCATATTATGAAATGCTACAATAACATAAATATAACTAAAAAGGCTGTTTCATGTAGTGGACTGAAACTCTCAAAAACAAGCCAAGAATCTTTTGTAATTCAGTTATATCCGTTGGTTAAAGCAATTAATCTAATAATACCGTAAATTATATGCATATAATTAGTTATTAGTTAAATAATATCAATTACTGTCAGTTTGATGGATTCAGATTATATCTATTGACCGTATATTTAAATTGACAAATATCTCATTTTCATTTGTGAAATCACTTTGATTGATTGTGAATCAGTAGTTAGTAAATAAATAAGTTTTCCTCTGAAGTCTTACTTTCTTCCTTGAGTCGAGCAATATCAGTCTTTTTTCCATCGTCAAGTCAAGTCAAGTCAAATGCAACGTAGAACTTTGTACATAAGTACATCAGTTCATGTTGCCATACCACATCAGCACAGAGAAGTAATCGTCAATTCAAATCCAATTGTAGAAGAGGTAGTAAGGGAATTAGAAATAATCGGAGAGGTTAGGATTAGAAGATACTATTCAAGAAGTATGATTCAGTGAGAAAAGTTTAGAGAGTCGAAACTAGAGGGGTTGAAGAATCCAGAAGATTAGGATTTGAGAGAACACAAAGAATAAATGCACCTGCGCCATTGCGAACGATTTTGAGCCATGTCATTCAAGGTCTCTAACCATCGATTATTATCATCTCGCTT